AAAAAGTCCGCTTCAGAAAAAATAGCAAATGACCTAAAAAACGAAATGAATTTGACGGGAAAGAAAGTTGACGCCTAACTCTCACTCGAACCACTGTTTTCATATGGTCACCAGTCTGAAAGAGATGAGAAGAAATAAAGGACCGCACGAAACGTTGCGTCCCTAGCACACGATTGAAGACGAGACAGTAACGACAGTACTATTCATAACTACCTTTCTTAACTACCCTGTCCTGGACGAGAAGACTACACCATCAAAGATAAATTCGTAGAGTACCTTCTTTGCTTTGCTCTGCTCTGGTTTCCCAGACTTGAAATCTTTCCTCTTTGGTTTAGTTTCAGACTACAACGAAATCAGAGTAAGTAACCGAAACGTATAACTAAAGCTTAGACCACTCAGATTAGTTCAGTAATACTGAAATGTTAGCAAAAGAAAAGCACTTTTTGATATCGTTGGATTTCTTTCTCAAGTTAATGTGCTGCTTACTTTTTACATTATTAAAGGATCTACAATTATAGGCATAGGGTGGCAAATACGTTAAGTGATAAGAAAACATGTGACTATTAGGAAACTATGTTAATCAAACAAACAGTTTTGGTCTGGTTGAGTCTGATTAAGTATTGAGTGCTGGGTCAAGATCTCCGATATATAACGTTTAATATAACAGACAGTCAAGTTTATTCTTGCATTTCTGTAAGATGGTAAAATGGTCTTTGAGGTTCCTTGGCTCCATGGTTCCCGGAATCGGAAACCACGTCAGGCACACCAAGGAGGAATCACTTTTGCAATTACCGAAAAAGTTGCAATAATTTAAAAAATCTTCAACATATTTTTTCCGACAAACTGACCATTGATGATCTCCTGTCCACTTGGAAATACTTGCACACTTCACCGTCATATTTCTTCAGTTCTTCTTCGACTAAATCGGGATAAGACCTTGACGTCCGCATTTCAAGGGCGTGGAAATCGTTGTACCTGCAAATAAGAATTAATTTTTTACATTCGAGAACCAGGGCTAAAAGAAGCGGTGACTTTTTGATTTTTCGTTTTGTTTTGTTTTTTTCATACTTACAACTGTTTTATTTCATCCAGAGCTGAAAGCGCTTTTTTCAGACTATCTGTTAATGCCTAACGGTGGAAGGCAAATAAAAAAACGAGATAAGCACAAAAGTAGAACAGATGTACCCCTCTTTTCCCGTCTGGTCACTAATGTAAAGACGTCTCCTTTCGTACTAGAACAAATTATTCGATTTGGAGACTTCTACCTGTTCACTTGAATCTTGTCTCATTTTGTCCATAATGATATCCAAATTGGCTTCTTTCACCTAATGACGGTAATGAAAGAACGTAAAAACAAATGGTTAACCTACATATTCTAAACTAAGGCACTTCTCGATAACAAGCGACCCGTGGAAATGTAAAAGCTGCGGTGAAAACCATATGGCAGATTATACGGAAATGGCCATGCTCCTAAACTAATAATTTTGGATTTCGATTCATCATCTGTTATTTGTTTGCTTCTGCCGAGAAAATGATTTATGGCAGCACGAAACAAAACAACAAATTTAGTTCTGACCCTCAGACTTGGTATATTATAGAAATCAGTAGACAACTTTCAGCGTTTCTTATCCAGGCGATATGTCCTGTACCACAGGTGTCATGTACGTTTGGATCTCTACGATCCTCTAGCTCTCCGTGAATTCACTGCAGCTTGGGATCTTACGCATTCGAACAGCTCTGCCGGGGAAAGAAGGGTCCCGGTGGGGGTACCAAACGTCCCGTCTGCGTAACGATGGTCCCACCGGGGTAGCAAAGGTCCGTTTTGTAACTAACTACCCCCCCTCCCCCCCTCACTGTACTACATATAACTGTACTATCGGATAGGAAGGTTTCAAGTCAACTGAAAATTCCATGTTTCTTCAGAAGTTACTTCGACTCAGGTAAACTAACTAGCATTGCCAATCAAAGTCTCAATAAGAAAATATGCAAGTAAATAAAAGATAACGTAAAATAATAAAAATTCAAGCTGTGTGGAGGCATGCACGGAAGGTGCAGTGGAGTAATTGAGATGGGATATATCTAGAAACAAATCCAGCTAAGTGACATACAAGAGGATTTGCACATAGGACCTCCAGATGTCAAAGCCAGCGTTCTAAAATACTGCTACGCCGCTTTATTTCAAATCTTCACTCACTTGATTCGCACCATCATGGTCTCTACGATTCTTCTCCAACAGTTCCTGAAAAGGACATGTCTAGATATTAAATTCACAGAGCGTAAAAACCCTTCCCAAAAGATGTGAGCACATATTTTAAGTTATTAAACAGTTGAATTAAGTAGAGATGGCAATTTCTATCGATTTATCGGCGTAATAACCAACTCAACTCAAGCGGTACGTGGAAACCAAAAACGATCGAGGATTGTGAAGTGAAGTCTTATTTGTTTTGCACATGACGACCTCAAAAAATATTGGGTGAACTTTCTAATATGGCAACACTGCAAAGAACGTCTTTCGAAGCCTGTCGCTTTTACGGATCGCGTTTTAGATGCAGTCGACTGAAAATAATACTTATAACAGTAGTTGTATGATAACTAGTCACAATATTGTTTTACCTGAAGGTTTCTTTCTTGTCGAGCCAACCCGATCTCATGTAAGTCCCATAAATGTGCGGCTCCTTGTACAAACTTGAACAGAGATTTGATCATCATGACGTGAAAATTGCACAAGTTTTCCAAAGAGCGCTGCAAATGGAAAACAGGTTTTTTTTAATAAGCTATCTTTCAGTTGATGAGAAAGGTAAATAACGTACTTTGTAAAGTCAGAACTCTCTAAGACAAAACAAGTTACCTCCATCTTGTCGATCTCGTGTTCAAATTTGGTTTGCTTTTCACCGACGAGTGGCAGAAATGATTCATTCATCACCTGATGAAAAGTTGAAAAAGAGTTAAGAACTAAGAAGCCAATAGTGATCACGAATCCTTAATCAATCATTCTAAGTGAAATAGGTAAACGAAGTTCAGTTCAATGACTTGCAATACGTTACTTATCCGTGGTGGAGAAGATCGCTCTACATGTCAGTTGGTTAAAACCTTGCGACACTTCCATGTTTCGAACTGTTTTATGTTTGAGCGATCAACTGATCCAGCAAATAATATATCCACAGCCGAAGGTACAGGTTAGTGGTATAGACGAAAGTCGCAGCACGGAAAAAGCGGCGGGGGGGGGAAGGAGGAAACCAAACACGAACCGAAACAAAGATAAAACAAAACTATAACCCTCTCCTTGCGGCACAAATTTAGTGGGATTCTAAATTCCTCTTCAAACAAAACCCCGACGTTCCCTCCCACCTTACCTCTTTCCATTGGTTCCTTCCTTTGGTCCCTTGGTCCTTTTAAGCTCTCCTCCCTCTTGCCCCCTTCTTCGGCCCTTCCTGTTTAAAACCCCTCCTTTTTGGACGCCCCCACTTTTCCCCATGACCTCTCGGCCCCATATCCCTTTGTTTCCTCCTTTCTGGTTCTTTCATTTTTACTGTTGTCTTTCTAGCGCTTTTTTAAATAAAATGGGCGAGGGGGGAAATACTGAAACGTTGATACTGAAACTAAATATCACATGGAATATCGACATGCTTTGACAGCTTTTTATTAAGAAGCTGCTATAAGGAAATGTGATTTATAAAAATCTTAGGATATGTTGGTCACCTCTTCTGTTCTCACTGCATTAAGAATTCCTCCTGACAGGAACTGTTCCTGGAAACAGGAAACAACACAGTAGCATTTCTTTAAAAATTATAATTTTTCATTTAATCGTTTCAATAGTTCAAGGGCTACGTCAGACACTGTATGCCACATTTTAGACACAAACAGGATAGAACCTTAAAACAATAACTTTCTAGTGCAATTTGCCAGTGTGGTGGTATCTTTAAACACAGGGTGGTGTGATGCGTCTATTGTGGTAGTACCGCTATTTCCGTTGCCTAAACCTATGGGTGAAAAGAGGCTGACTGCTCAAGTCCTTTCCTGGCCTTTCCATCACAACGACCCTATCACCATGATCTTATCCCCGTGACCCTAGCTCGTCACCTCCAAGCTAAGCGGCTAAGGATCTCGGAGGAGCTCATCCCCCAGAGGTGCGCTGTACAGACCCACCAGGGTGGGGACATAACGAACTGACCAACTGTGGATAAAATAGCGAAGACGCTGGTAGCGGGGCGTTGGATGGTGTCAACACCCGTGGAATAAGAATTGACTTGAAGGGAACGAGGTTGGTGAAGATAGAGGGGATAACTGCAGATTATTGATGTCAAACTTATCGACAAATGAGGAAAGATTTCTTTAGACGGACAAACCATGACGTTGCTTTGAACAATTAGCAAACCTTGACACGGTTGACTTCCTCCATGCATTGGTCAATAACCCGATCATACTCGCTTTGTATAATGTCTTTGTATCTGGCATGGACTTCCTCTGTAAGCACAGAACAAAAAAAAGAGGAGGTGTGAGACGTGAAAGGTGCAAAACCTAATATTCTGAGCTGGTTTACTGGAAACGCTTTTGCATCAAGTAAATCAAGAAACCAATCGCCAAACTTCTTAATCCCGAAGAGTTTGAAAGTAACACAACGCTTGCAATAGTAAAAAAAATTGGATAAAAAAGGATATCGAATTTAAGCTGCCATGTTCCATGGAATCTTTAGTGACAATAATCTTGACAGGAAACGAAGACAGTAAAAACCACAAAGATAAATCTACTTATTAATGTAAGTTCCATAGAGGTATCATTCAATTAATGCATGAAGAGAAATTTTCTATTGAGTGTCGAACGTAATCCGCTATTGCACTGCTTTTTCCTCAGCTAGATCAACCAATCAGAAGCAAACAACAACCTAATAAGAATTGTTCTCTCACGTTCTCCTGCGCCTGAGGCAGTTTTCTTGTTTTCACTTTGACTTCTCATTGGCTCCTTAAGTCATTTTCCTTTGTTCTGATTGGTCGTTGTGAATTCCTTTCATTTTGGCTTTATAGCATCCAATCAAAAATAGACTATAGAATGAACATACCAAGTTGACGGCATATGTCTGTCAGTCCAGTGTTCCACTGATAAACAGCAGATTTAGTGGAGTTAGGAGGCCTCATATTCCTGTATGAAAAAAGTGGCCAAATCAGAATGAAACAATGAAAACAGGCGCTACAAAAAACGCACGGGGTATGAAAAGTGTCCATTTTAAATGACATGTGTGCTCCGTTTAGCAAGCCTGTCTCGCAACTGAGAGTTACACGGCAAGATTAAAGAATAAAGAGCGTTTGAGACAATAAATGTAGCAAGGATTCAAGTGAGCGGTTGAGTTTTAATCAAGTTCTTCATTAATTATAAAAGTAAATTTCAAAACAGGACATTGAGGAGCGAGAGCGTGGAAAAAGTAAGTCAATAATTCCACTGAGTCCCTTAGTCACTGTGACAAACCTTAGCGATTCCAGGAGATCCAATCGCTTCTTGTTTAATGTCTGTTGTTCTGAGGTGAAAAACTGCATCTTCCTTTTAAGGTCTGGCGGATCTTTAATCGCTGGGCTCTGCATGAACTCGCTGAAAAGATAAGTTGTTCAAGTTTTCAAGGAGATGTAAAGGTAACTCGCCCTTTAGGGTGTGCCATGATTCTGCCGCCAGTGAACTAATGTACCGAACGGATCTTATAGCCACAGCGGGTGTAGATCTAGGTAGGTGACTTAATCAACCTCACAGTTAAAATATTTAACCAAACGGAAAAAACAACTTAACAGAGCCATGTCAGAGGTAAAAGATCTCTTCTGGTCTTTTTCTTTTTAAAAAAGTAACTTTCTACTTTTCTTTGTGGTAATTATAGCGTGCATTTTTGTTTTAAGGAAACTGATGGTCTACACTTCAGGGTCTGGCATGGCCCACGATAAAAATAGATGAAAAAAAAGAGAAAACACTAAAAAATTAGTCACCATCTTCTCTTGCGACTAGAGATGAGTGACTAGTCATCCTGACTTACTTAAATGTCTGTATGGCCACTTCACATTTCAGTTGCCTCCAGTCTTCCACCCTTCTCTGCCAGGAGATGTAACACTGCCTCTCACGTTCAACATCAGCTTAAAAATTAACAATCACAAAAGGTTTTACTTAAAAGGACAGATCTACTTCAACAGATCTACTTTTAATAGACCCAAATCAAGAATTTTTCATTGGGAAAAAAAACTTGGCTACCGGGAGAAGATGAGTTGTATAATAACTGTATTCCTAATTAAATTCAGGTACAATTGCAGCGTGATTCGATCTGAATTCTGTTTTAAAACTGACCGCCAATATATGCGACAGGCGTAACGCGTCTGCTGAGATCCTTTTGCAAGAGGAAACTGAATAGAGTAATTTCTGTGGTCTTAATACGGGTGGATATACGCACACAGGAGAGTTAATTGAGCAAACGCTCCCCTAAATATCACTCGTAGAAATTACCACTCAGTAAATGAGAAGTGAGGTCAGCATATGCTCTCCTGTTCATCAGAATAGTAGAGTTAACGCGTTGAGCTTCTCTCTCAAGTAACCTGTGTACATCAGGTGGCATCAGGTGCGCTACTCGCTCAAGAACTTTGTTGTAACTTTTAAGAGTCTCGCGAATCTATCAGAGAGGGAGAAACACTACATATCAATAAAACTAATAAATTATTGGAACTGACTTTGATTCCAGTGTAAAAACAGAGTTTCCCTAGGCATATTCTTAGAGTGCGCAGTAGATGCTGATTTTAAGGTATGGAAACGTGCGGCCCGCCAGCAGAAAGGAAGAAAGAGGACAGACGGCGGTCATATGATAACATGCTGATTTACAGAGGACTATTACGCCTTCAGCCAAATATTTTCGAACCTGGAAATACCCGAGCTTACTCATTCAATATCTACGTATCATATGATCTGTTTGAATTAGATACTCACCAAATTACCCCTGTCGTTCTCCACCTGTTCCAGAATAGCATCCAACTCTCTAATCCATGTTTGACGACAAACGGAATGTCCGGAAATGGAATCCCACAGTTCCTCCAAGTCAGACAGGTTGTGAAGCAACAGGTCCTGCAATAAACCAGGAATTTTTTTCTACGATAAGAGACAGTTTTCTGTACATTGGGAATTATCTGTAGACATAGACATAAAAATTATACCATCGCTGTGAGGTTACGAATGAGAAAAAAAGTCATTCATTTTGTACAAATTGACCGTTGTACTTACATCATCACTTTTGATTGTTTGTAGCAGCTGCTCTATTTCTGTGACAGAACGAAAAGTCACAGTTATCAACCTATTTCGAGGTCAATTAAAATTCCTAACACTTAACAGTACCAGCAAATAAAAAAAAAAAATCTTTCTTAGAACTAAATACAGCAAAACGGTTATTTATCACTATTTTGGCACAGAATCATGGGAAAAAAAGTAAGATGCAAAAACTTCCTTGATTCTTTTTAGCGCCTTGAAAGGTGATAACCAAACATTTGGCCTTAAATCACTCAAAACAAGTCTATTACCTGAATCATTTTCAAGCAACTGCTCTTTTAAATTCTCACATGATTCAAGAATGTGTGGTTCCAGTTCCTGAAAAGAAATTTAACGAAATAATATGAGGTCTAATAAGCCGATAGAGTTACTTCCACTGCTGTTTCTGTTATGTCATACGAGGGAAGCCGATCTTAAAAGGTTGTCAGTATTCCACATGACATGTCTCCAAAGGATCTCAGTATATCTCCTGTATATTTTGGCCAAAAACATCTCCAGTCAAGAGCTACTGAGGCAGTGCCAACTTAAAGATATATGAAAACCATCCTTTAAAAACGAAGATGGAGATGGTTCAAGCATGTCCTTCAGAGAGTACCCGACAGCATTGCAAGTGTGGCCATCCACCTGACACCAGAGGGATAGAGAAAGAGAGTCCGACCTTGAACAACTTTGTGGTGGACAGTTGAGGTAGAGATAAAGTACATACATAAAACATGGGGGAAAATCCAGAAGTGGGCTCAGGATAGGAACAAATGGAAAGATTTCATGGCTACCCTTTATGTGCCAAGAGGGGTGATGAGCAGTAAGTAAGTAAGTGTTTCTGCCATGCTGTTACAGTGCCCAGGATTAGAAGATCTAAAGTTTGGGTGATTTACAGTACTGGTATTTTCTGCAGCAGTGAAAAAGTATTAAAGCTGCTAACTCTCAGCTTGACTTCTATTAAATTCAAGCAGATCTATTACATACATGCTGATCACCAACATAAAATTGCAAAACAAATCCACCTCCAGCATGTTTCATGAAATATACACAATCATTGATCCCTCTACATTAATCTCATCAGTGTTATTATTACAATTTGCTCCCAATAACAATGGTTAACCACCCACTGTCTCTGCGCACAAAAAACAATCAATCATTTTTTAACAAAGACTATGATTAACAAGTGGTGTTTTTTAGATGTTCATGTACATGTATCTACTTACAGCATTGATGACTCCAAACTCTTGATACATATCTTCCAAATATGACTCATGTCTTAAATATGGAGGAAAGTTTTTTTAAAAAATAGTGATTTATAATTCATCAATGATTTTTACTTGAATGAGATTGATCTTTTATTGTGAAACCTGACTAAATATTCCCTAGCTAAAATGGGGAATATCCAAGTGCTAAATAATATGCAAAGAATAGACACAAAAGCCTCCAAGTGGCTTAGAATTTGTACATTTTTTCTTGACCATAATCTGTTTCTGAGAGCTCGTACTGATTCTTCTAACTTTGTCCTCAGTTCACCTTCCTGTCTCAGAGCACAGACTGCCTGCACAAAAATTTCTGTCATTGAGTAAATTTTAACACTAAATGGAAGAAACATAAAAATGTGAAACCATTGAACATTACATGATATTGCTTTCAAAGGTAATCACTGGCTTGGGTAAATATATATGAAATAATCAGAACAGCACAACTGCTGCATTAAAGTTCATCTCACCTTTCCTTTCTGCTTGCTTCTAGTCTCTCAATGATATTTGTCTTCTTGTAAGTTGTTTCTAAAGGCAAAAAAGGGGGAATAAAAGTTGAATAAATTTATGGCAACAGTTATCAATCAGAAATTACTTCCGATCATTTCTTGCATAGTATAGAGAAGCTGAAACAATCTGAAATTACTGAAAACATATACAATGTATTTACATTGATGGTATCCACAATAATTACGTACTTGGTGTATCTGGAAGCCCTCTGACTTCAAGAGCATCAAAATAGCTATCTGGTTTGGAAGTATTCTGTATGGCATCAAGAGCTGCATATCTAAAATCAATTACATTTATTTAAATAATACATTATTAATAATGAACTACTGAACACTTCTGTTAACTAAAACCAAGTTTTTACGTGCATGCATCATCTTTATCTTGGTGGTAGAACCTATGTGCTGTCATGAAGGTCTAAATAAACTGCTTGTTTGACTTGATCTACAGCAATTAAACATTAGGCATAGATGGTCTGGGAGTGACAATCACTGTCAATCAATTACCCAGACATTGAGTGGATACTTAGCACAACAGGTCATACAGGTTAAAAAAAAACTGTTTATGATAGGTAGACAGAGTCTACCTGAAATTAAAAGGGTTTTCAAGGTTATTCAAACCACTATATTCAAAATTGCAGCCTTGTAAACATCCTCTATTTTTAATAAGTTTATTCTCCTTTCTCATTGTAGGTATTTTTTATGACTTACTTGAAATGCACAGGATTCTCTATGCTACTCTCATTTGGCCGGCCCTGCATCCATCTCTTTTGCCGGTTCGTTAGAATACCATGACCAGTAACAGCTCTAGATTCCCTGACCAGAGGTAACAGAGGTGCAGACCTGGGTTTGGATGGTAACTTTTCGTTTTCCAGTGCTTTCACAAGGCTTACCTAGCCAGAAAGTTAACAGCATCCAAGGGTGAAACTTACTAAATGGAGTCATGAAGTCTCTCTCTTGCTCCAAAAAAAATTATCAATATATTTGCTAACCAACATGTTAATAGCTTCAGGGAAATTAACCATTGGCTGGAAACGACATTTATGTGAGCAATCTAAATTAAACTGATAACAAAAGTATTGGTTGGCTATAGAGCACACCAGATATTCAAAGACTGCTCCACTTAGTATATTGTTAGGTTTCAAGAGGACAATGTAGAGTCACATTAAGAATTATGTCTCCTCTCAGCATGTGCCATTGTTTCTTGTTGTTAATCACAAAACAAGAAGTTGTAAACTCATTTCACATGGCATTGTGTGCTCTGTTTAACAAATGGAGAAGCCTTGAATGTGTTCTCTTCTGCTGTAAGGCACACAGGAAGTGGGTAGAGCGTGAAAGAAGTATAAGAACTAACACAAGATGTAGTCAAGTGTTTCTCTCCACTTCTTGAGTGCTCTAGCCGCTTTCCAAGTGCTTTATAACAGAACAGAGCACAGGCAAGGCTTCTCTATTTGTTTTAACATGAAAAATCCATAAAACTACCCACATATTACTTTAAATTTTCAAAACAAACTTTATTTCCAAAGCAAACAACAGAGTTGTCAGCATGGTTAGAATGGTTCAAATAATCTGATTGGTTGAACAAGACTAGGGCTGTCAAAAATGTCAAATCATCAAAGTTCACAATCTGCAATAGTCAACAAACTGAAAAAGTTTGGCAGGTGGAGTTTAACACTATTGCCTGAGTTTTTGGTCTTAATACAGCTGAAAGTGAAATGTTTAATGAAATGCGACCGAATTACAGCTCTTAAAAACATGCATGTTTTTTCACATGACAATTAGAAAACAAACTGCTTATGGTATGTGTTTTATGAATGAACAACAGTCAAATTCACAGGAACATGAAGATTGTTCAGAATGGCAGTATAAAAAAACCTGGCTGCTGTGACTGAGGTGGCCTTCCACTTAAGGCAATGGAAAGGATATTAGAGCAAGCTCTTAGTTGTTCATTTAAAGGACAGTGATGACTGGATGACTGTGGATGACTGGAGATTACTATGAAGGACCTCAGTATGATCTCAGTCGCCCATTCCTGTTTTTTTCTGTTTCATTTTTGAACACCAAACTGTATATATTACACAGGTGTTAGCTATGTTTGATTTTCATTATTATACATAAGCTTAAAACCTGACTAAGCATGAAAACCATTTAAAACTTTAACTGTTCATTTTGTTTTCTCTTTGAGGATTTTCATCTCTGCTCACATTATAATAACATCAAATACAGTGCTTGGTATGTTTTTACAAACTTTGTTTGGCTCTTGACTGTTGCTACTTGCTGGCTGCCTTGTTCTGAAATTTTACTTTCAATTGATGAAAGAAAGCTAGATAGAAGTCCGGGAAATGGTTGGACATAGTTCAAATTGGCAGAAATTGTGACAGCATTTAGCTTTATAGCTCCATGTTATGTACTCTGATAGAGCACGCTCTTTCAACCAATGAATAGCACCTTATATCCGAAATTTTTTATAAAATTAACTCATATACAGCTGTAGCAGAAAGTTTTAAAGTAAAACAGCAGATGCAGTCAAGTGACACAGTAAAAAATTATCTTTTTGTCAAAATAAAAATACAATTTCATATTTAAACTTAAGGGTGTGAGTTCATTAACACAAGGAAATCATGAGTTTAAGATCATTGGTGTGCTCTGATCAGTCTGGTCAGTCAATGAGAACCAAACTTAAAGTTTTGAGTGTCACTTGACCTTACTAGATACTTATTGACATTTTTGCCGGATTTCCCTTTCAAGTCCCTATCTTTTATATACTTATAGAAGCAGTCGAAAAGGATGAACATCGAACATCGACCATATATATATAGCTAATCTACCGATACGTAAACATTGGAAAATACCATGATTTTTAACTACAGAATAATTCTTTTATACACTAGAACATAAATATTAATAGATTTTAAGGTGAATAAACAACCACAGACCCTAAAACGGCCAGGATAGTGTCACAAATCATTTGTACTAATACATGTACATGCTGCAAAGTACTGCTGCAACGTAACCATCTTGAATGAAAGCATGCAAGCTTACCTTTTCGCTCTGTGCTTTTAAAGCCAGCAATACATTGAATAGTGAAGTATCGTTTAACCATCATACGTTTACATAAGCTTATAATCCCCGAGAACAGCATGTAAGAAAGAGGCTGAGCCCTGATACATGTAGCCGTCTCAAAAGAGATGACCAATGGTAGCAAAAAATTAAACTAGGGTTGACAAGGAAGATTCTTACCTCAGCATCAAACACCTGCCGATACACCTCTTCCTCTGGAATTAGTCGGCGTGGCGTTACTTCAGTCTGGGCCATATCAAAAACAAATGCTTGTCGAAAATGTAGTAGAGGTTCACCTTTTCGCATAATCCGCCATTTTGGCTAAGCGTTTGTTTGTTAGCAACACAAAGTAAGTTGGTGCCCAGTCTACCGACGGCCTGAGCGAAGAAGAACCACACTCCCATAAGCAGCAAATCATCATTACAAAGCTGACTGAAGGTTGTCGCGAATTGCTCAGTGTTACGGACGGCTTACCAGGGGAAAGATAAACTTCTGCTTTAGAAACATTCCCTTCATTAAATGCGTGTATCCTCTGTGGTATTTGACGATTATGGTCTCAGTATAATTTGATTCAATGACGGCGGTGCCAATGATGTCTGCACACGGTCAAGCAGGAAATTGGGGTAGGTGTTCATAAACTGCAGCATTTTCAGCATCTGTTACCTGAAGTTAGTTTGGCCTTTTCAAATTCTTTATGTATCAAGAGTTTCTGTTGTATGACATTGTATATTCATCGAAGCATCGATGGTGCATAAAAGAAACTGAATTACGCTTCCGGAATAGCGTAAACAACTTGATTCAATAACATATTGAAATCATTGAAGCATCCGTCTGTTTTCTTTTGTGACTAAATAAAGTTTCGATGGCTTTATGACACGGTAGCTCCGTAATTTTGCTGTTACCTATAACTTTCGGCAGTATATAGAAGCCTGGCAGTTTGAAATTCTGGTCGCATAAAAAGAGATTCTACTTCGACACATTCTGTGGGAGATCATGAAGCCTTAACGGACCACTGACTAGCGAATCAAGATTGTTGACATGTCATACATACCATTGAAATATAAGCAAACTGTATGGTGGTCGCAAATAAAGAACTGAATAAAAACAATATTGATGCATTGTGCCCTGAACATCTCAATTCGAAATTCATTATGAAATAAAAATGCGTTTCTTGCCTCCGTGCAGTTTAGAATGCATTTTTACTATAAAACACTCCTAACAGTTGGCTTCTTATTAGTAAGAAGGAGAAAGCATGGCTTATATCTAACTGGAATCAAAGCCAAAATCTTAAATAAGTGACCAAAGCTGCTAATCAACAAGATAATGCTTCATCGCCTCTAATATTTTCAGATAAAATTGCCACTGAAATCCTGCACAAGGCGGATCTAGGGGAGGGGCCCCGGGGGGCCCGAGCCTCCCCCTTATTTTGGGTAAAAGAAAAAAAAATCGCAGAAGGAAGAAAAGCCGGCAGGGTAAGCGACAAAAAAAACCAACCCCCTCAGCTCAAGGATCCGCCACTGTCTTCCTCGCGATCATTGCTGTAGGACTCGCCGACCACTAGAATTGAATGCATATAGCTTATAGTGACTCAGACGAATTCCCTCAGCTTGACAAGCTGAAATGAGAATTTCGAAATCCAGCACAATTCCGGTTATCTAATTGTTTTATGTAGCAGGTTCAGATCAGGTCTGAAAAGGTTTGCATCCTGCACCCCAGAAAGGGGGTGAACCTAGAATATTTGTTGTACCATTATTGGGTGGCAGGAAAAATTTGACAGGAGAATGATCCGTACAGGGTGCCTTGTTCTCCTCACTAAAACCCAAACCTCAATTAAGACCATACTTTGTAACATACCATTCAACACCTTTTCCCTAAAAGTTAAAAACAATTTTTTCATTACAGACTTTAAGCTAAGGACGGCATTAATTCAGGGCATGACAAAAAATGACATAGAACTAGCTTTAACACTGCTGTCTTAAATCCACCTGACTCTTTATCTGTTGTCACTTGCTTTCCTGTCCAAACAATCATGAAAGTTATCTTCCGGAATATACTTACACATCGCCTTGTGAAAGACTGATTTAAGCGTACGAATCGTAATCTTATGGGTGATCACAAAAGCTCAACGTTGAATTATTTCCACAGGGGACAGCTTAAAGTGCTTCAAAGTGGTTCTTCTTGGAGATGTAAGCGTTGGTAAGACTTCGCTGATAAGAGCCCTTAAAAATGAACAAGAACAATGGGAACTGCCCAGAGAGTACAGAGCAACCGCAGGAGCCTGGGTAACATACGTTGACATGGCAAATACACGCAGGCTTCTTATTACTGACACTTCTGGAAAGCGGGAATATGCCTCTCTTGTTAATTTATACTTAAGACATCTGCATTGTATTGTTTTGGTGTTTGCTCTTGATGAGCCCTCGAGCTTCGCGCGACTCAAGAATTACTGGTATCGAGAGTTTATTCATAGCTTCAAAGGTGACGCTTCACAAGTATCAAAGTTTGTCGTCGGCACCAAGACTGATGTAGCACCGCATAGCTTCACACTACAAACAGAAGCAACATCTTTTTCTGAAGAAATTGGAGCAGAGATTTGGATCACCTCAGCACTCACATTATTCAACACTTACGAATTGTTTAACCGAGTCGCGGAGAAGGCAAGCACCTTGGTTACAGGTGGGATAAATCCGGTTGATGTCCAAGATTGCTCATCAAGTTTCGGTGACCACCTTCTGGACGACATGTTCCTTGGTGAAGGAGCCCTTGTGAGGTACCCTGATCCAGTCCTTTTAGAAACTGAAGAAGAGATTACAGATCTTCAGTTGTGTCATCAGTGTGTAACTATGACGGGGAAGAGTAGGAAATTCACCTGGGGGACTTGGTCAGAGGAATGGTAAAAACCTCTCTATTATTGCATGTGATGACGAGTTGAAAAGGAGTTATTAAAGCCAAAAACTACTTCTCAACCTAACGTTAAGGTTACTTAAAAATCTATCAGAAATACCTATTTCTGTAAATGTCATTAACTGCAAAATATTCCCAGGAAAATGGGATTTGATTGATGGCATAGCCGATGTCGACCTCTGAGCAGTTCATTGCACCTGACAAGTTATCTCTTTGAACAATGGAGAATCCGAGAAATCAATTAGCAAGGCAAAATTTAAACAACCTACCTTGGAACAGTGTTGACTCATCGTTAAGCAAACTTGAGCTAAAAGGACAGATGGCAATCTCGCTATTTCGTGTTGATATTTTATGAACAGGCAATGTAAAAATGTAAGAGTAAGGAAATCCTTTCAAATTTTTTTAAACTATTTCTAGCGCAAAGGAGGCTGTGTTCAAGCAGGAGATTTCGAGGCATCCAGACAGGACATCGAACAAGCTTTGGGCCTGTGTAATGGCTAACGCAACACCTAGCACTTGGCAGTACGAAAACTTAGAGGGTTTGATACATTACGGAACTAATGTTAGAAGACAACCCACAAAGACAGAGTTCAAGAACATAAAAAAGCTTCTCTTCACTTCACGTAAGTTTCTAGATGGTGAATTTGATAATAATGTATACTGAATTTGAGACATACACAAGATACTCTCAATGTATTTCAGAACAAACTGGTTCCGTGTGATGAGTGCTTGTGCCAGGTGGATGGCTCTGCACGTGCGCAAAATGAGGAGTATCCTGCTGACAAGTGGGAATTATTTTCTCGATTAGCATAGATTTTTCTTTGTCCCACGCTCACGACAAAACGAATAACACCATTTTTAATTCAATGGCTGAGCTTAAAATTTCTTCACTTTCCTATTTTATTTGATATTCTCACTGTGGGTGCCTTCAACACGCGCCAAATGTATTTTTAGCGCATGGAAAAGATGGCTTCTCGTTGCTTTTTAATGATTTCCCATGACAAACTAAAAATCTGCCGAAGGAATGCTTTGCACTCTGTGAGGAAAATTTGTGATTTGGTAACCGTGCAATAGATCTCTTTCATCCCACTTTTTATTCTTTACATGGTAATGATAAGGTAAACGAATGCAAGATAAGTGTCGGGGAAACCGGACGAAGGGTTTATTACACGGGTAAATTGCGGTAAACTAGCATTCTCCTCAGGAGGAGTAGCAATAATTCTTGTTGTTATATACCTGGACTTTCATTCAACAAAATGAGCACTGTGAATGGTAGATTCTTGGTCACATACCCGTGATCAAATTCAAATGTATCCCGACCGGGATACAATTGCACAGTTGTTGCCCGCGCGCCGAATACAACAGCACGTTTGTTTTTTTTTTGCCATGTGATTGTCTAAAGGAAAGTCTAAATAAATAATAAAGCACTTAATGTACGGTCCCTCGGGAAACTAGTTAGTTTTGTTTTCCCTCGAGTCCTGATGTTTCCCGAGACTTCGTCACCTCGGGAAACATCAGGACTCGAGGGAATACAAGAGTGACCGTTTTCCTCGGGACCATACATCAAGTGTATATTGTTTAATGCTTCACCAATTGGAATAACCTCCGACAGGAGAAACCATCCTGTAATTCTCCAGACTAAACCAATATCAACCTAAAGACGGCTGAGATTCAAGTATACTCTCTCACAGTTCCTTTAACCCTCTTCCACAGGTGACCAGATGAACTGCGAAAGGGAACACGGCCTTTTTTACATGTTACTTCAGTCAGAAGACGGTAGAATATCAGAGGTTGGCCTCAACTCTGTCTTTACCAGATTGACCAAGGGAATTTCATCCGAGAAAGAAGTTATCCTGAAAAAATTCTACTTCAAGCCAATACCACTCTCTGAAAGGGTGGCTTGCATAGACATGTCCATTACTCATGCGGCCGCCATTGAGGAAGGCGCAACAACAGTTACCAACTGGGGCCATGTAGATACTGCTGTACTCGGTCTTGATAAGGAAGACTCACTATATCATCTTGATGTATATGTTCCATCATCAGTATTATCAATAGACTGCCAAGTGAAACAAGTTACTTGTGGTTCAGCTTTCACTTTGATGTTGAGCTCAGAAGGAAAAGTCTTCTCTTGTGGATCGGGTGCTTTAGGAAAGTTAGGACATGGAGACGAAATGGACAAATCATTGCCCACATTGGTAGGTATCCGTTATGCAAGTTTTCTTTTTTCCAAACATTTTTCCATAACAAGGAAAGTGCAATGTACTTGAATCGCATAAGTTACGCAGAACTGGTGAAGTAAACAATGTTTTGTTCTCGCATTCTGCTCCTCTTTTCCATCTTTCCTTCAGTCGCATGCTAATATTCCTTCATGGAAATTCAATCCGCTCAGGTGGTATTTAAGCAACTTTTCGGTGAAGAGTTTGTAAAGCTGCAACCCTACAGTAGAAACCTGAAGATACTTAAAGTATCTACAAAATATCTCACAGCATATCCCGTTGAGAAGGTCTCCAATACCCAAATTTTCCATTTACTCTTTCAAGTTCCCCACCTCGATGAGGTGGGGGACAGCACTTACAAAAGACTCCTTTTACTACAAATTGATAGATTGAATCGTTAAAGGATATCCAGGCTATTGCTGCAGGAGGTGACCACGCGGTTGCATTAAACAAAAGAGGCGCTATTTACCAGTGGGGACTGGATTGTGCTGATGTAGAAAGAGGAGAGTTCTTTTCAAAACCCAAAAAAGTAAGCAACCTCTTCAACGTGGCTGTGAAGTCGGTGGTGTGTGGCACTTTTCACACTGTTTGCTTGGCGAACGGAATATACTACACCGGTATCGGGTATGCATGGGGACTAGGTTCCGATGGTCAGCTAGGCCTGGGTCATCGCCGATGCCTTTCTGCCCCTAAATTGATTGGTGAACTTTATGACAATAGTAAATTTGTAAAGCAAGTATCAGCTGGGAGGAAACACTCTGGGTTTTTAACCGTTGACGGAGAAGTGTACACTTGTGGAAACAATGCCTTTGGACAGCTGGGTTACTTTACTGTCTCTGAATGTAGCGATGTCCCACGAAAGGTGTCCCTTGGAAAGAATGTCTCAGGAGACGAAATGAGGTTTGTAATAGTTGGCTCAAGCGTTGTTGATAAGTTCTTTGCGTTTCACTAAAATATGATGAAAAAGATTCACAGTTTGCTGTAACAGTCAAGCACATGGTTTTTGTTAACTGCGACTCTTTGTTGCGTGATGTTAGGCTTCATTACCTAGATAGATAGCAGAACTGTCAGATATAAAAGACGAGAGATGAAAATAATTTTTTAATAACATCAACTTGAAACTGTACAAATCTCTATTATTTTCACTCCCCACGTAAAATCCTTAGCCGCTAAGAAAGTAGTCAAATACAAGAAATTTCAATCAGATGAAAAGTTCCAGATTACTTTAGGTTTCATATGTTTGGAGCAAATATTCTACTTCAAAATTTTTAGATGAGGCTCAGTTATTCCTTTCACTCTCACTCTTTGTCAGTCTCTCAGTTGCGACATTTCTGTGTCTTGACCGACCCTCCCTGAGTAGCAAGTGACCTTGAACAAAAAGTAACTCCCTACTCCTCCCCAGGGTAAGATTTGACATAAACGCGCTTTCGCTAAATATTCAAATTTCGCGCTCGTGCAGTAATCGGCTATGTTTGAATTTAACTCGTGAATTTCGCTATTGTAATGGCAGCGAGTTTGAATTTCCCTCTTGAATTAATAAGCCATTTTTTGGCTCTAAAGCTATTGTTTCAAGATATCCTTTTATGGATATTTGAGATACTAAACAAAGGGCATTGTCTTTGAATTTGATCAGCTTTTCTTGATACGTTCGGTATCACTTACTTTTGCCGTTAAATAGAAGCTAAAGCAAATATATAGAACCCACACTGTATATTTCGTTATGAGATATGCCTTGGTGGGCTGCTTTAACTATCGAATAAGAGGGTAAGTTTCTCAAGAAACTGTGATGCTGCTGCAGTGGGAGAGTATAACAGGGTAATTTAGTATTACCAACTGAGTTGATAACGTAAATTGGCCACTGTAAAGAGTTATAAAGATGACGTTTCGAGCGTTAGCCCTTCGTCGTTCACTCTGACGAAGGGCTAACGCTCGAAACGGCAGCTTCGTAACTCTTTATGGTCTGTGGCCAGTTTACGTTGTCAAATCAGTTGATAATACTACAATACCCTTCTTTAACTATCGTTGCTCAGGAAATATCTTCTTCCGCACTAATCCACCCTCATTTCCATTGATTTACTGACAACTGTTGGTTTCTCTCGTTAGAGCGGAAGAACTGTGCTGTAGTGAAGACTACACCATGGTTCGAACCACTGGTGGAGATGTAATGATATGGGGAAAATGCCAATATGGGGCTAAGTTGAAAGATCCAATACCTTTTGATGTGAATAATGAAGCCGCCTCTGACCCTGCTGCCGCTGATGAGGCGGTAAGCATCAGAGATGTCACCACGTGTTATGTGCCATGTGAAAAATCCTTTATCGAGCTGGTAGTAGCGCTGAATGGCACCGGTAATCTGATATTTTGCGCAGGAATCTCTTCCAAGTTTGATTGCCAGGCCATGCATGATTGCATACTACAGATTCAATGCAACACGATCGACTTGACCACTCTTCGCGCGGTGGGCTCAGTTCTGGTCAGCATGGATAGGCAAGGAAAAGTGTATTATGTCGACGTCTGGAGGTGGTTGTTGCAACATTTTTCTCTTGAACCTCAAGAAAATACAGTTCCTGAAGACCTCATACGTTCCCTTTTCTCTCAGTTGAAAGAGTCAGAAACTGATAGATCACCGGAAGTTGATTTCACTACCGTCCCTTTTCATGGTGACACTATAATGGCAGTGGAAGCAAGTCTCAATACATTTCTATTTTGCACTACCATTGGAGATGTGTACAGTTGGTCGCCGATGGCAGGCAAGGATGTTGTGTGGCATAAGGAATTGAACTGTGAAATAATTGTACAAATCGCTTGTGGTGCGGACCACCTAGCTGCCTTATCCGACAGAGGAACTCTCTTCACGTCTGGAGAGAATAATTCAGGCCAGCTGGGAAGTGGTACATTCCAATCCTCCCGGACTTTTCAGTTTGTTCCAATAACAGAGTTTGACAGGATTCAAGCTATATGTTGTGGATGGGCGAGCACATCTGTTCTCACAGAAAATGGCAAGGTTTGTCTCTGTTTTTTATTCCAAACTTTACATTTCCCACTTTGTTACAGGCTACGAATAACCTGTATTTTCAGTCGCCTTTTCTGTGTACGTCATGGTCATCTCGTGGCAAAGATAGACCCCGGACGAGTTCGCATAGATTTCACCTAGCTGGCGTAGGTTACGTGACAAAAAGTTTATTGACGGTTGCATGTTCTAGCTATTAAACTGGTGTACAAATTTTCTTTATTAATACAAGTATTCTATTACAATTGTTGACGGATCATAGAATATCCGGCAGAACCTCCAATAATGTGGCAAGTTACTTACACGGCCTTTGCATCAAATTTAATAAATGCTTGCATCATTTGCAATGTTGAATCTTTCTTTCAGGTTTATTTCTGGGGTCAGCTAGATTTACCAAAGGGGGAAAAAACAAGGAAAAAGCTCCTGAGTGTCACTGCCTCAGCGCAAGCCATGGACATTCCGAAGCTGCTGAAGGAGACGCAGTGCAGATCTTCTCCTGCCGGGTACAAATTGGAAATCATTGGCGACGTTGGAATCGCAGACAATCACCTTGCTGTGGTTGGCAGATTGTTTGAAGTGGAAATTTCCAAAAGATATAAAAGCTCACACGGCAGTACTTGCATGGTAATATGCGTTAATGCAAAAGGCTGCCAACAATTGCTTGTTCATTATTCTCATCTTTGCCATTTTTCTCCTCTCCTTGCACAGGAATTTCGAGCCGAGATAATTAACTGTCAAGACCCCCTAAGACGTGTTCATTCCAAGGGAAAGATAAAGCAGTCACTTAGTGCGGATGAGGTGTACATTGCTTCCATGGTTTTCTATTCTGAAGGATCTTTCAAGGTCTCTATAACAAGAAATGGAAAGAATCTCTTTGGGAGTCCGTTTAAAGTCACAACAGAAAAAAGCGTTTCGTCGAAGAGAATTAAACTGTCGCTGATTAGTTCAGACACTGAGTGTATGAGAGAAGTTGGTGGGGTCCTTCAGAAAGTCATTGGCCCATATGAATCATGGATTCAATTGACGGGGGTTCCAGCCATCAACACAGATTTATTGACACAGGAAGTATTTATGATGACTTCGATGACTGACAGTGGAATTTACGTCTACGTATGGGACGCCTGCAACGGAAACCTGCCTGAGGAGAACCTCAACTTCTGGTTGCACTTACTGTCAGAACATGCATCTTCCGCCGATGTAATCCTTTTGGCTATAAATGTCAGTACTACACATGCAAATGACATCGACTTAACGCCATTCCAGAAAGTTAATCCAAAGATAAAGGGATCCATTCTCGTTGGGACCACCTTTGCTTCAGAACCAAGCGAGCTGTTAGAGGAATTACTGTTGGTACTAAGTGAATCAAACTGCCACCAAAGTCCCGTCTGGTACAGATTAGAAAGTTTGGCTTCAAAAGCCCTTGAGCTGAAGAGGAAAGGAATTGAGCATCTTGATTATTCTACTTTTAAGAGTCTAGCCAGTGAGTGTGGCATCCAGGGGGATCATCTATGCAGAAAAGCTGCCAACTACCTTGAGTGCACAGGATTGGGTATCTTAATTGGAGCAGATTCGGTTTTCTTAGTTCTCCGACCCCATTGGCTTGAAAGGCAGCTCACCGAACTAGTGAGGCCCAGTCACTTCGGGAGCCTAAGCAGGGAAGCCTTAGGTACTGTTAAAGTATCGAAAATTTTCCGTTATCAGTGAGATCACTTTATATAGACCCCTAAATAATGGGTTTTTGGGAGTGCTCAATTTACACCGTGGAGGAATGTGAAGATCAAAGCATGAGTCCCGCGAAAATTCAAAATCGCCCTTATGCATGACTACTTCACTTGCTGGACTAGACCCAGGCCTCTTTTCCACGAAACTTATCTAAAATCTTTACCCCTTTCTTGATCTCCGTTCCCAAGGAATACTTTCTATTTTAACTTCACAAGTCGCACTTTGCAATATGGGCGTGGGAGGAGGAATTAACTATTTATGTTAATAAGCATAAAGCCTTTTTCGAGGCACCAGACACTCCCAGAATTAGTATTTCTATAATACAAAGTTGTCTCTAGAGATATTTTAAGTGTTCTTGTAACTCCTTGGGGTTCTCATGAACGTCTTTTTCATCCGTTTTAATTCCCCAGACTCGACAAAACAACACATTGTCAACTTTTTAATTGAAAAGCGAGTGGCTGTTGAGACAAGAGATGGAGGTGCAGTTTACATTATTCCGCACCTGACTTCAAAATCTATCACAGAAAAGAATTGGCCTCCGGTAGAGGAGTCCAAATACACCATCTACAGACATTTGGTGTTTAAGGTGCCGCCTTATCTTGTCTATTCCAATTTCCATGACCTCGTTGCAAACATTCTGCAAGAATATAGTCAAGTGATTGTGGGGAAATATTCTCTGGTTATCTACGTGGACGATCAGTATGACTGTCGTATTGACTGCGGGCCTTGTTTTGTCAACAAAACTGTCATGGAGGTAAGAGTGACAGTGCGGGCACACAGCCAAGATGTCTGCAGGGCAGGTGCAGAAGCAACAGTACGTTTCATGAAAACATGCCTTGCGAATTTACCTGGCTTTTGTGAGATCAAGGTGTCTTGTAGTGCCTGTCAGCAACATTATTTTGATTTGTCCTTTCTACAAGAGGAAACAGCACGTGGCGTGGACAGGTGTCATTGTGAAAGATGTTATGACAAAAAATCTACCATCAGTGACATGTTAAATGGATTCAAAGATACGCAGTTGATTCCAGTTTTGGAATGGCATTCTTTAAATGGAACCGGTAGGTAGAAACTTAGAGACCAATACTCACTTACCCTGACCTGTGTGAGTTTACTAGTCTTGCGTGACCTCCAGAGCTGAAATTTGAATCATAATCACGTCCACAACTTAAAGCATAGGGGGTCTTTTTCCTGTAGATTTCCAGAAAAAAACATATAAAGGATACTGTTGGCCTGTTGAGGATGGCCTTGGACCTTGTTTTTGTGCATGTTTCAAGGGCGAAAAGTGAACAAAATTCAACTATGGATCGTTGTTGCGTTGGAAAGAAATAAAACTTGGTTCAACTTGCAAAGTTCATTATGGATGGAGAAGAAAGACGCCAAAATCAAATTATTAAACACTCAAACTCGTTCTGAGTTTTTCACTCATCAACTTGTTTTTAACAAAGCAGGTGACCCGTACCGTAAGCTTAATGATCCTAACACTCTGACGCGTCCCCTGATGAAGTACCTTGGTGATCGCGTTGACAAACATGAAGCAAAACTGCTGAGAGAGATCAGAGAAAGGATTAACGACTTGACAAAAGTCTTCATGGACATGAAAAATGTAAGAATAGCGTTTAGCACTGGTGATCAATATGACAGATTTTTGCTAAGTCTTCGTCTTGAATTGCCGAAGAGAAAGTACGAACATAAGGCTTTTGCCCATTAGAACTGAGGAGGACAGTCACTAGGAGGGAAGCGGGTAATCAAAGAATCATAACCATTTTAGCAGGGATAATAGACAAAAGACTTGGTACTTTCATGTAAGTATATTTTATAGACAATTTGACTGTGTTCCCTAGCTAAGGAATTCCAATCTTATCTCTCTGTAATTCATGCTCTCTATTAGAGCTTGCTGGTGTCGTGGAGGTGTTTCAGATTTTGAATTGTGATGTTAATCTGCATGTTTTGAAAACAGAGCTGCTGTTGTCTCCACACTTGATTTCGTTTGCGCCCAAAATATGAAATCGCCATATTACTGTCTACTCTCGGCCTCGACAGTTTCTGTGGCGGTTTGTTTAATTTGAATGTGGCACGAACTTGACATAGGAACACTTTTCTCTTTCTCGTTTTCTGACATGTCTGTATCACTTTCCGTAGTACGATGTTCCACGAACCATTTGCCTTCTGCCAGAATTCCGGAATCGCTCCTCTGTTTTGAAATTGAACGCGATAAAAAAGCTTCTCACCTTTGGTCAGCCAAAATATCGGTTGTTTCTGCTTTGTGAAGGAAACGGAGACGGTAGTGGGGTACATTTTCTGGACTCCAGCAAGCATGAAGGATACAGACTAGAGAGTATGGTAGCTGCTGATCTCATCAAGAAAAGCGTTAATTTTTTGCGCTTTTCTTTGCAGGTAAATTTCTTGCAGACCGTTTGTGGGCAACATCGACACGAATTGATTCGGAGTGTTATAGCGTTAATTCTTGGAATTCTAAATTCACTCTTGTCTCTTTTTCAACGTTAACCATAGTTCGCCAATATTTTCCTCTTTTCAGCTTCTCATCAACATTTCCTCTGTGGCGAGCATCGCTGCAACCCTCTTTGATGTGGAAGAAACTCTGAACACTGTCCTGGGCACAATAGGCCTTGGTGGAGCTGTGCTTTCTGGAGTTCGATGGAAGAATGTCTTCAAAGAGGTTTGTGATATGCATTGACTTTTAAAATCAACGACATCTACGAAACTTCTTCATCACATATATATACCTCGTTAAGCAAACGTTACTCGTTACTCGCGTCTTCTCCGCTTCAGTTGGTGTGATTATTTGTTCGTTGTGATGTTTTTCTATGTTTTATTTTTACGACGTTTAAAGAAATGTGTTCCAATATACCAAAATCCAAAAGCCTACGTTACCTATCTTACACACAGATGGACGGTTTCCTCAAGACTGTTGAGGAATCATCGGGTTCCATTCCGCAACCCAAAGGGCTAACTGGCGTATCAGGTGCATTCCGCGGCTATCAACTGGGTGGTGAACATTATGAATACTTGCGAGAAGTTCTGTTAAAGCTAGGAACCAAAGACAACTTCGGCGGGTTGCGACAGGAATATCGCGAAGGGTTTGGCGTCATTTGGGTATGTGAAAAGCACAGAAAGAACAGCAAAGACACCAAAGTCTTTCACATCATGCCGTGAGACAACGATTAATCAAGTCAACTACGTCATGATAATGTATGAAGTAACTTATGTTTAACTTGTGAATATCGATGATGAATGTCGAATTGGATGTTACCGAAAACTTGCAGTGAAGGTAATTACAGAAAGTAAAGTTCTATCCTAAAATTGTGGCTTTATGGCTCAGTTGGTAATAGCGTCCAGAACGTAGTGGTAGGACTCGGAGGCACAACAATCCTAAATTGATATTTTCAAGCTTTATTTTCTGCGATCAGTTCAATTGCAGCTAAGCTGTAAGAAATATAATTTAAGACGAAACTTTTCACGCCTTTCTACAGCTCTATTACTCCAGAACTTCTTTTTGAGTCGTCTTCTATATGTTAAGAATGCATCCCACGATTCGTAAACAGTGTGTGATAACCCAATTGGTCCATTTTGTGGTCAAGAACAGAAGAACTGGACATTCCTGCACAAGAACTGAAACTTGAATGTAACTTGCCCTACTAGGTAAACCGTGCAAATTCAACCAAAGATTCTTTTATGTTTTTCGACCTCAAAACCGTAAACCCTTTCAGAGGAGCAATAATCGAGAGCCCTTAAGCGCCGATACAATTTAATGATAGCTCCTTGTAAACAATTTATGACTAGGACTAGCTGATTAGAGGGCACAGGTGAACTATAGCTCGCTGGGACAAGTTCAAATATACGATATTAATATATTTTTGTATACTCGTGTACACCAAGCTCCAAAAAGATTAGAATAAGGGTAGGCTATCTCAGGTTTCTTTTCGTAACTTCACTCCTTCTTTCCTTGGAGAAAAAAAAGGGAAACACTAGCTACACGGTTAAGCTGGTTGTTCTGATTTTTATTAATTGAGAAATGAGCAAAAACTATCAATGTAATGTATTCACAAAAAACAAGTAATTTATAGGCAAAGCATGGGAAAGTTTTTAGGTGTGTTCTTAATGCTATGAGCTGCAATATAAATTCTACATTCTTCAAGTTAACGGGAACATCATCATCGGTTGTTAGAAAGCCATGAAAAATTTTCAATAGATAAAATCAGAAATTACAAAGTTCCCTTTTAACGAACATTAAGTTGAAATAGTAAAAATGCATTTTTATCAAAACTAATAAAGATCTCTAATTTCTACTGTGAAACGCTTAGTAAGCTTTCCCCACTTTGATGCAGACACTATACCATGTGCAAATTTACTCTCCTCGTCCAATAAAGGACTTGTATGTACACAGGCTACTTTGTTCAGGCTACAATTTGTCTTTATTCAATTATCACATTTTCAAAAATTAATAAACAAAAAGAATTCCTTCGCATCCTTTACCTAAATAATCTAGGCAATAGCCTTTTTTGGGTTTAAAATACATGAGAGGTCAAAGTTTCCTTTGCCAAAGTTCCTTCCATACATCAGAATGGAAAAGACAGGAGAACTCGAATTACTAGCATTACTTTATGACTAGCACAGTCTAAAACACCTTCTAACACTCTTTAAGAAAAACCCTTAGTGTTATGGTTGGAATAATTTGAACTAACTTGATCCAAATGTAACTAATTTTTGTAGATTACAGTACAATTACGGTGACCAAACATGAACTACAACCACAGCAAAGTAGTTTCAGTCTGCTCCTTCAAATGCTACAGCTGCCTCGGCTTGAACATAGAATGGCCCCTCACGTTCATATTCCCGCAGTCGTAAATGAATGGGCTTGTCAAACACTTCCTTAGAGAATGGAGAATGAACAAGTTCTGCTATAAACTCATACTTCAGTTCCTTGCCAGTCTTGTCTGTTTCTGTCTTCCTGTCTAAAAGGTATTCAAGGAAACCTGCAAGAAAAAAATCTATATATTATAAGCCCTAAAGTTTTAGGCCACTTTGGGGGGGACAAATCCTCGTTATTTATCCACAATGTACCATGAATAGGCAGGTTTGGGTGCAAGCTCTCTCAAGGTGAGATGGAAATTGTTAACCTAAACTATCTTAACTTGTTTAAGCTACCATCTCCAAGAGGGTACTCTGAATACTGTCCTTGGAACAATAAGCCTAAGTGGAGCTGTGATTTCTGTGGTTTGGTGGAAGAATGTCTTCAAAGAGGTTTTTTTTTACAAGACACTGCAAACTGTCTGCAGTCCATCATATGCTTTGTGATATTTTCATTAGGATTCACATTTCAGATGATGCACATCCACGCTTCACAAGTAGGGACATGCAAAGAGTTTCACCTTGTGCAAGCATATGTAGCAGGATAAGCACATTCATCTCATCATCTATTTCTGTTCTAAACCAAAGTTTGTGTCCAGAATAGGTTTCCAGCTTTATGATTACAAGATACTATTTATTTAATAAGCTTAGTCTTCTTTGTTTTTACCTGGGCAAGTGGTCATGTTTTCTTGTGCCCATCGGTATTTGGCAAGACTTCTAAACACTTTCAACACAGCATAGTGAACATCTTGAAAAGGTTGTTTAGAAATTTCCATCAGTTCCTGAAGTGGATTAGATGTCATAGCAATAAAGAGCAATCTTGTCAAAGCTGACAAATCCTCAGAAGGAACTTGAGTGGAGTGAAAAATCAAGGCCAGAGTTTCCAAGGAACGAGCCTTCACATCAGCTTGGGAAGAAGTGATGTTTGTGCACAAGACTTTCATGATCTCATGAATGCGGCTCTTGTCATCAAATACTACTTGCAGACCTGCTTCTGAATGTGACACAGCACCAACTGTTTCTATGGCAATCAGTTTAAGAGATGGATCTGCAGCTGTTAGGAAGGAGATGACATTTTCCAAAAAGGCTGGATACTGCTGAATCACTTCTGCTGGTCTGGACTGAGCCAGATAACCAAAGAATCTGATAATACCTGTAAGATTTCAAGATCAAGAAAATGTATTACACGAGTGACCAAGACAGAATTTCTTCCTACAATATATGGCAATATCAAGCAGACAAGTGATATGAAGAAAGAAAAATGTAAATTAGGGGATTGATACTGGATTGATAGTTGATCCAACAGCAAATTCTCAGAAATTATATCATAAGAATTGTATGGCTGACAATAAGGAGAATCACCAATGAGATCTTAGGACCTTTACCTGATGACAATTTGCCTGTAAGTTCAGACAGCAAAAGGGGCAGCCTATACTGAGCTGTGAAAATGCTTGTTTAGACATTTAATTTTCTAAATGTGACTTCCAGTTTTTTAGCTGATCACTTTGAAGATTCAACATTGCCCTTTCCTAGCATTCTTACCATCATTTTTAATGTTATTGAATATTTGTTAAGTACTATTTGGGCAATTATATTGGAGGCAGCACCATATAAGAACAGAAAGTATCATTATTGTTGTTGGTATCATTATTATTCACAGATATTCCAACCCCTTTTGAGGGGAAATAGGGAGTATTATTTTATTTAATTTATGCCTAAGTCATCTGCAAACAAAAAAATTGTATAGGAAAGTATGTTACATAACATTTTACTCTCAGATTGCAAAAGATACTTATAAGAGAAGCAATTTTTTCTTTGTTATAAGAATTTTATGATAAATCAGGAGAGGGGCAACACATCAAATTGGGAGACTACCAATCAAATCAGAAGGGTTGGAATTTCTGCATCATTATTTCAAAAACTAGGAAGAAGATATTTTGGTTTTATCAACTTAGTTCAGATTGTGTTTATTGAATATTGACCACTGTGAACAGATTCTAAAGCTGACGGCTCAAGTGTTTACATTATGAACTCATTTGATAAAACCAGATTATCCAGTACTACTGTCTACTGACACTACCCTACAGTTTCTTTAGAAGCTTACCCTTCTATAAAATCTGAACATTTAAATCATTTTAATTGACTTTCTGTGTTTGAACTGTCTATACTAAAAATAAAATCTTACTTGGTAACATCAAAGAGATCAGTGGATCTACTTCAGCAGTAATCAATAAATTGTTCAGCTTATTTGCTATGCCACTTTCTTCAACAAACATGAGCCCATTTGTTCCTGAATCTGCAAGTTGCGTCAAAAGCTCAATGCTGTTCAATCTGAGCAAAATATCATCTCCATCAAGCTCTTTTGCCAATTTCTCCAAAACACCTGATTTTCTGCATAATTTAAACGCTTTTTCGGAGAGACGTTGGATAGCCACAAAAAGCTCATACACTCTGAACCGGATAACATCTTTTTTCGTTAGAAGCTCCTCGATTTCACTCTGAATCTGATGTTCAAACAAAATCTCCAGGCCGGATTCATGTTTTGCAGTGTTGATAAGCGTATTTGAGGCCAACTTGACGCAAGCAAGGCTCTCGTTGCTCAGCGCACGAGTGGTGTAAACCAGGATATCCACATTGTCCAAAATAGCGAGAAGGCCGTTAACAGTTGCAGAGCATCTTTCCAGCTCACCCAAGCAAAACTCGCGGACCTCAAACTGTGGATGATTCAAACCTTCGATGACGAAATCGTGGTACTGAGTTATAATTGCGTCTGCCTTCTCTACAGATAGTAATTTGTTCAATATCCCTTTGCACAGTGAAATTTGCTCTTCGTTGGTTGTACTGAAACAGCCAAACAACGAACGAGCTGGGATATGAGGCGCTATCTCACGAGTACCAAAAGATGAGCTGTTAAGAAGGGCACTAAGATCTTGTAAAGTTATCATTAACTCTTCGCCTGACGTATTTGAGAGTCTCTGCACAATCTTCGCACACTTCTCGGCAGCCATCTTGGCTCGATGTCGCGCCCGCGAGCATCTGCGAAGGTATGAAAAGGAATTTGCTTCATGCAACATCAATGAATTATCATTGAATTCGATACATACTGCATGGTTGAACAACATATGGTCACTTAGTAAAATTTATTCATGTAGGCTATATTGTTGGGTCACTTTGTGGAACTGTTATGTAAGACATATCACTGTGTTAACTAGAACAGTAGGTACGTCCATCTACACTGTCTACAGTAGATAAAACTATCTACACTGTCTACAGTAGACACAACTACCTACACTGTCTACAGTAGGTACAACTATCTACACCATCTGCTATAAGTACAACCCTCTTCACTGTGTACAATAGCTACAACTATCTACACTGCCTACAGTAGGTACAGGTGTCTACACTGTCTAAAGTAGGTACAGCTATCTACACTGTCTACAATGGGTACAACTATCTTCATTGTCTTCAGCGGGTACAGCTATCTACACTGTCTACAGTAGGTACAACTATCTACACTGTCTACAGTAGATACAACTATCTACACTGTCCACAATAGGAACAACTATCTTCACTGTCAATAGTAGGTACAACTATCTACACTGTCAACAATAGGTACAAATATCTACACTGTCTACAGTAGGTACAGCTTTCTACACTGTCCACAGTAGGTACAGCTTTCTACACTGTGTACAATAGGTATAACTATCCACACTGTCTACAGTGGATGCAGCTGTCTACACTGTCTACAGTAGCTACAGCTATCTGCACTGTCTACAATAGGTAAAACTATCTACACTGTCTACAATAGGTACAAATATCTATACTATCTACAGTAGGTACAGCTTTCTACACTGTCTACAGTAGGTACAGCTATCTACACTGTCTACATTCGGTAAAGCTTTAATAAAATACGTTCACAGAAAAATGCGTTTTTGCTGACTTTTCTATTTTTACCTCTTCTTATCATCATTGTTATCTTTCCTTTTTCTTTTTTTGTTTCTGAGCATTTATCTTCTTCGGTTTTGGTATTTGTCACAATAGGAAAGGCCTCTCGATCTGCACATTTTGTTTGCATCGAGTCTTCCATTACATAACAAAAGAGAATTTATGGCACATTTTGCATAGGGTTTAATACGTAAAGTATTCATCAAACAGCCGAATAGTCGTGAGAGAGCCCGGGCCGAAGAAATCGAAGCTAAGGTTTTCTTTTTTCCTTAGTTTGCTTTGCCCAATTTTCTTTCTTCTTTTTCTCATAAATTTTTGGATTTCCTTTACTGCATTGTAAATTCGGAATGACCTTTCCCGCCAAATTGAGAGGAACTCTTTGCCACGAGACCTCCACGGGAATTCGACGATGCGTTTGGAGGCCAGTTTACGATCAGACAACGACATCCCAACGTCAGAGTTCAGCAGGTAGACATACTGAGAAAACATTTACCTCCTTCTAACTTGTATCGCCTAGCTTGGAATGGATAATACATAAGAAACGTCAAAGGAAGAAAAGAGGTAAAAATAATACATAAAACGGTTAAAGAAAAACAAAACCACTTCTATTTCAAGGAAAAAGAATCTTTGCCGGCGACTTCTGAGTAACAGAAAACTCCACAAGATTTCAAATACAACTAACAATTAACAACGTGGCCCGAGAAAGAAAACTGCTCTGAAACAGAAGAAGGGAAAAGGAAAAAAGAAGATAAAAATGATGATGATAAGGAGAAAAAGTAGAAGAAAAACAGCAAAAACAAAAACGCAGTTTCGCGGGGAGGAGTTCCTCGGCCCCCAAGCCAGTTTGAGAGTTACTCCTTGTCCGCAAGCTCCAAATCATACTCGGGGAGAAGTTATTCGGCCCCCAAGCCAGATTGAGAATAACTCCTATAGCGTGACTCGAACCCGCGACCTCGATGACTTCTCTTGCACTCGTTGCGCGCCTACGATTGCCGCTCGACCATCTCGAAACTACATATTTATTATGTATGAATTGTCGGTGTAGTGAGTTGTGAAATACCAGGCTGGGGGGGAGGGTGAGGAACTTTGTCTTACTGAGAGTGCAATCAAGCGTTTCCGGTCAAGAATAAAGGAAGTAAGTCAAACAAAGAACTGACAAAAGCGATCTACACGAGGAATATTAGCATATGTTGTAATGGCGGACGGCTTCGTTTGCTGAAGCTCTTGAATATGACTCCTCAGAATTGTATTGCACATCTTTTACTGCGCATAAAATCACGTAATCATAAAGGCGAATAAGCGCGCTTAATGTATTTTAATCCATGGACCAGGTTAAAAAGTACGATGGTCTTCAGCTCTTGATTTATAACACTGACCTATATTTTCTACAGGATAAAAGGATAAAAGCAAGGATAAAATGGCGTTCAAGACTTCAACAGAATAAATCTGCAACTTAATGAACCGATGGCTTAAGAGTATCATGATTAAAAAAACGGCTCTTTTCGTATTAGAGAGTTATGCCGTGCAGAAGCAAAGAGAGGAAGTGGTCGGTAGACTCCACATTTTTCTCGTAGATTATTTGTGACCAAAAATTCAAATTTCCTTTGTAAAAGTAACCGAGATACTTATGTATATCACCATCTTCCATTTTAAAGCGGGATTGACGCAAGAGTAATCAGAATATTTATCACTGACACTTCTGATTGTCGTCCGAAATTTATCATTACCAAATCATAATCTGTGAGAAAGGAGGTGTAAACATTCCAATAACTTAGACCACAAGTTAGAAGAGGGTACCTTTGCCAAAACCTCTTCCCCTCTAGTGACCAACAGGAAGGCCTGAAGGCTGTCTGGAGCCATAGACGGCGATAGGGAACTTGACCACTTGATTTAGCTTACAAACACACTCAGTAATCAAGGTGAGCTACTAGAACCAGTTGTATCTATCTGGTTAGGCCATGACAAGTCGTGAAGTTGATGCTAACTAAAAACTTTACTTTACCTGAACAAACTGAACAATAGCGGCATAGCATACAAAAGCAAAATTTCAAACCTCAAGAACAACATATTTCCTTATATTCCATGTTTCGAACCTTGCTTCTAGTCAAGAGATGGTATTGGAGCTATTTTCTCTCTTGTTTTAATATCATGGGGCTCTGTCCAATTTTGAATGAGTTCGTTACATACGATTTCGGACAATTACCGATACATGACATTTCACATGATTACGGAAAGGTAGGCTGATGTCGAAGATGTGCTCCAGCACGGATCCTCAAAGACTTACCAGCCTGTTTCTTTATTTTATTCTCGACAAAGAGAACTTCACTGCAGTTTACGATCGGACATCGACATCTTAACGTCAGAGTTCGGCACGTAGACATACTGAGAAAACATTTTACCTCCTTCTAACTTTCATTGCTTATCGAAGGATGACGAGCTTGAAATGGATAATACATAAGAAACGTCAAAGGAAG